CCGCCTCCTACGCTGAACCTTGGTGGGATCAGCCAAGTCGTCCAGAAATTCAACTACTTAGGTGCCCGTAGAATGGAACGCGAGGTCGCGAACCGTATAGCAAAACGTCGAGGCAATTTCGCTAAAACACGCCATGTATGACCGCGGCGCGACACCACTAGTTCCCTGAAGGGTAGAATTTACAGTGCAGCCGTAGGCCCGATCCAACTCTGCTGTTGTGGAGTCTGGCCCATCAGAGGTAAAAATGCTAGTTACGTTCGACCACTGATACCTTAGCAGCTTGGCTCATATCTGGTCAAAACATGGTGTGAGCAATCAGCATGCTGGACGCCTCTTTTATGATACTGGAAGAATAAGTTAAACGCTCAGCACCGTTGTTTTATGCACCAGCCTCCGATAGCTGGGTCACCTGTTGCGCATCCCAGCACACTGACTCCCACGACGTGCGTTGTTTACGCGACCGGGATGATGGATGGAGGAAGAGGAGGGGTGGCCAAGTGATGATTCGGTCAAGTAGAATAAAGGTCATTAGTTCGAAGTTGGAGCCTCTCACCTCCTGGTTTGGCTCCGAAAGCCGATGAACTCGTTTGGCCAGATACACTTGTCGATATGTCTAGAAGTCGACCTCAGTAGCGTTGTGTTGCAAAGTTGCTTGCCCTTCCGCCTTCCATTAAACCACTCTCTTCAAGCACAGTCCCTTTTCCTACATATAATATAACTAGTTTTCGGCACAAAAGCCTGCTACTAGCCCACCGGAACGATGTCCATCCGTTGCTGGGGGCTCGGCTGGCATGCCTCCGTTGTTTGTTTTTGTTTCTCATGTATTGCGGCACAATAGCTGAGGTGTTTGCCACCCATAGCTAAGGGGTAGGATGAATGACTAAAGAACAATGATAGTCAATGTGATATGATACTGCTTAGAAGCAGCGAGTAGAGCATACTCTGTGTAGCTGCATCGATTGTCGCTCTTGGACATTAACGTATTAATTATCGTTCCGCTCTTTATATTTTGCCTCTGCAAAGTGTTTGTCTAGAAGCTTCTTAAATTCGGCCACTGAATTCGCCTCTATTACCGACTGCGGCAGGTTGTTCCAGACATTCTCCACTCTGCGTTCGAAACAGAGTTGGTGAGCTACCCGCTTCAACTGCGGTACGATAAGTTTGTACCGGTGTCCTCGCGTGCTGCTTGGTGTGCGCAGATGAAGCAGTTGTCTCAACATGGGGTAATTACTCAGATGTAATATCCGGTGCGTCATGATTAGGTCAACCCTCAGCCGACGATATGCTAGGGTGTACAGCCCTAGTTTCTTACATCGGTCTTCGTATGGCATACCTCGTAAGTTGCGAATCAGCCTGGTGGCTACATGCTGCACCCGCTCAAGCTTTTCTACTTCGCCCAACATGATGATACAATATGCGGGAGAACCGTACTCTATCATTGGTCGTATTATCGAGACGAAGAGGCAAGTGGCAATCTCTTCGGACCAAGTGCTGAAGCTGCGCCTGAGCGCCCAAAGCATCCGAAGGCTGTTTTGGTACAGCCTATTCGTGTTGTCAATGGACTTTAGGTCGCAGCGTGAGAGCACACCGAGGTCGAGCACGAAAGACGCGGGATGCAGCGGTTGATCAGCCACTGTGTACGTTCCGGCTGTGCTCGCATTTACCCTATACGGTTCACTGCCGTGTATACTAGTGTGAACATGCATAGACAACCTTTAAGATTAAGACAAATTCCTTCCTATGCCACATATGCAGATTCGTGAAGGTGGTTCTATCGTATGTTCGATTTGGGTTATTTTCTGAAGCCACACTACTTTCAGTAGTCAACGGGCAAATTGATCTAAGGTATCTAGTTACACAACGCAAAGACCAGAGATTAAGGAATCTGAAGATCTTGCAACGATACTTTTCATCGTAGCGTATAGAGAACACTGCGGCGATGAGATCACCTATGTAGCATATTGTGTGAGGCCAACAACTCTGCCTATAGGCGACGGCAAGAATGGTTTAGATGACCTGTGGCGTAGTGTCGAAGTACGATTGCAGTGACACCGATACATCAAGCTATCTATAAGATGCCATCCGAAGTGATAGTTACGCGCGAATGTCTGTCGAGCTACTCAAACAACCGCATGCATGCGAAGCACAGACGGACATCTTAGATTCCCTGAGCGAACGGAAAAGGAATTTTTACCATCCTACCACAAAAGAACGGGGAAATCGGCAGGCAGATACAACATGTCAGTTAATGGGGTCGCCGCGAATTTGCGCCCAGGGTTGGCCGAACCGCTGGGTGATAGATAAAGAACAGGCTTACCATCACAGCCGCACTTCTCAACTAGCTACACAATGCGGGAGATTATTCTCAATATGCCAGAGGTTTTCACAGTGCTGGCCAGTTTGAACCCTTATAGATCAGCTGGCCCTGATAGTGTACATCCCGCCATAGTTAAGCCTCTGGCTGATATCCTTCAGTATCCTGTAGCGGAGTTATTCAACCAGTCTCTTCAAGAAGGTAAGCTGCCACGTGATTGGAAGGAGGTGACTATTGTTGCCATCCACAAGGGGGGTTCTAAGTCGGTGCCTCTTAACTATAGACCTGTTAGTTTGACCAGCATCATGCTGAAGTGCTTAGAAAAGCTTATAAGGAACAGGATCTGTGAGCACTTGACTGAGCACAATCTAATTAGAGCGGAACAGCATGGCTTTCTTAAAAGGAAGTCTTGTCTTACCAATTTATTGTGCTTTTTAGACGAGATTACCCGATGTCTTGATAGTGGGATGTCGGTAGAGGTGTGCTATTTGGACATCAGTAAAGCCTTTGACTCAGTGAAGCATCGATTTTTAATTGAGAAGCTGACATGGTTTGGATTGCATCCTCAACTATAACTATGGCTCTCTGAATTCTTACGTGGAAGGACATTCAGAGTCAGGGTTGGGGAAGCGAGTTCTAGTGTTGGCCATGCCTACAGCGGTGTCCCCTAAGGTTCGGTACTGGGTCCATTGTTGTTTCTCATGTTTATAAATGACCTGGCCCCTCTTCTTGAGGATCCCAGCTATATCTTCGCAGATGACTTGAAGCTAGTCAGTAGGGGAAACCAAGCGACATTGGCTAAGGACATCATCACTGTGGTGAATTGGTCGAGCCAATGGGATCTACCTCTAAATGCCAATAAATGTCAACTGTTGACCAGTAGTGGCAGCGGAATTGCAGTTCAGTCTCCTGCAGGATCTCTATCATTGCGGTGTACTGATGGAGCCCGCGATCTAGGTGTCATCGTAGTGAAGAATTTTAAGCCTTCGGCACAGTGTCGCCATGCTGCCAATAAAGCACGACAACAGTTATTTCGCCTAAGGAGGGCGCTGAGTGACACTAAAGCAGAAGTATTCTTGTCGTTATATAAAACAGTGGTTAGGCCACATCTGGAGTATTGTGTTCAGGCCTGGGCACCGTACCTCCGGAGTGACGTCATTTGGATAGAGAAGGTTCAGAAACTTGCGACCAGGATGATGGAAGGTCAACGAAGGAAGTCGTACGAAGATCCTCTAAGTAGCTTGGGATTATTTTCCTTGGAACGGCGTAGGTTGAGAGGGGATTGGATAGAGACGTTTAAGATCATTAAGGGACTTAGTGGTATTAGTCCCACCCATCTGTTTGAGTAGGCTGTGTCAGACCATCTGGGCGGGCATCGCCTGAAGCTTAAACATCATAGAGCGCGTTTGGACATCAGGGCAAAGTTTTTACGAACCGAGTAGTTAACTTCTGGAATAAACTTCCTTCTGATTTAGTGGAGTCTGAGACTGTAGAAGCCTTCAAAAGGGGCTTAGATGATTGTTGGTCTATCCTTTTTCCAGAAATATTGTAGTTGTACTGGAATATGTAGTGTATTTTGATGCTGACACATGAAAGTGCAAAGATTGCTCTTGTTCTTGCTTCATTCCTTTGCAGAAGCAAGAAGAGACAATCCAACGTCGAAGTGCCGGAGGCCGCTTCACTTACCAGCACAAGAACTGGACGCTCGTTAGGCGGAAGCCTCTATCATCCGTTTGACCTGACCTGAACAAGACGATGGTTAGCGCAATGTGCAGGTCAACCAAACTTCAGTCGAGGAGTCCCTATCATGCAAGAGTTGACAAGTTAGTCCTCATCAGCTTGAAGACAGATCCGTTAACATATGCGCATATAGATCAGCATACTGTTGAGTAAGATGAAATTGATGGTCCTTTCGAAGTCCAGACATTTATACCGAGGCTTCTGTGAGCATATAGGGGAATATAATAAAAGCTCCTCTGGAACAGGTGAGTCGTCAAAAGGTTTTTATCTCAGTATTGCAATCGAAATTAATAAAACATGTTCTATGTCGTGTGTCTCGGAGATGGAAGCACTATTGCGCAGTTGAGTAACAAATGCGGAGCCACATATTCACCTCACATATAAGTCGTGTGGAGTTGCACACGGTTTGATGAAGAAAAAATAAATTGGCCACGTAAATGGCTCTCGTACGATAACCTTAAAGCAAAATAATCCTTACACAGTTCACTAAACAGTCAGAATGGCACCGCTGAGTTGAAATTTGGAAAATCGTTCCAGAATCAATAACTGGAAGGAGATATCAGCTGAACAGAATGCAGGCAGCTAAACGAGGTATACACATACAATCGTTTCCTGGACTATCTACAGTCGACAAACAAGATGCAAACCGGAGATCCATGGAGTTCAATGAATCAAGTAATGAAGGAAATTTTGAGCAAGCAAGAAATGGACATCGAATTGGAGGGGTGAGAGCTGACGAAGCTGCGCACTCAACGATTGGAAGATGGGTCGCAAGTACGGTTTCAAATGCCACCCAAGTAGCTAACTGGGTGAAGATGCAATTAATATATATTATATGGCCGGTACCTCCAGGACTGAGCAGAAGAATCAGGCGTTCAGTGAAATCGACCAAACGTTTCCTTCTGATAATATGCGAATATTTGGAACAACTGGCAAAAAATTGGGTTTTCATTCCACTGTTAACTCTACTTATAGATTTTCTGATCAGATTGTGTCGAAACAGAACACGGGATTTTGGGGATTCTGAAAAGGATACTCAAAAAGAATGGAGGCGGTACCCACAAATGACGTGGTGGGTGGCCGTAAGATACGTGCAAATAATGTGTACCACTGCAGATGTGCTGAGAATCAAGGTAGATGTTCACCAAAAGAGGACTATGTTGAACAAAGGGAGATTTAAAATGCGGAAATGCATAGATCGAACTTGGACAACGATTGAAGTACTTTGTGGTCTGATGGACAGCATAACCAACGTGGTGACAGTGTGCTGCTCTGTCCTCACAAATTTAGCTTACATATTCTACTTTATGGCACAAGTTACAGACAAGATGGGAAAAGTATTGTATCTGATAAACATGACTGTGTATATTGCACATAAGATCTTCAGGAAGATGCATGCGCGATGAGAATACGGAATGAGAATGTACAATTGATAAAGAGGAAAGATCAGCTGCTCTTTCGTTGGAAGAATTCCTCATAACTGACCAACTGGAACCAATGCCCACAGTAGCACTTCGTCGGAGGCCCCTTGGTTAGCTCTATCCAATTGATGGCATCTGCTTCCGCTTCACCTTGAAATGCATAGAAAGAGAAAGCAAAAGCTGGTTAAACAGTGCCCACAGTGAGTGGAAACGCACTCCTTCCGCGACAACCTAAAGTAAAAAAAGCGAGAACTAGGTGGATGACGGAAAAAACCCAGAGAAGACCATAAGAGTGTGGCGGTTTCAGAAGAGAAATCGTAAACCTAATTGATGAGACGCTCTCCTTTGAGCACTGATTCATGAGACCGGTGCATTAGGGAGTTTCCTCGCACTATCCAAGAAGTGGTATACAAAATAGTGAAAATGAAATACCACAATTGTTATGTTGCATCCATTCCCCCGGAATAAAAAGATGAAATACTTGTGGAATATAAACCGACCATGAGGAGCATGAAACTCGACGGCATGGTAATTCGGATGCTGCCGCTTTCAAAGGGAACAAGAAGTTGAAAAGTAACGATGGATGCAAAATTACCCTTTTGGTGCTAGGTTGTTGAGATAAAGTTGAAATCGCGCTTTCGGAGATTGATTTCTGTCCACTACGAATCATAGAAAAGGAAGGCAACGATTCCAATGCTCATAAGAAAACCATGTCACTGAAAAGAAACTAGGTGGATTATGCGGTGCCTTAGGTAGACACACATCAGTACTGCGTTTGATGGAGTTTCGAGTTGTATTTTGTGCGGTTTGTAGTGACGCACAACAGTGTTGCGAACGAGCAGAGGTCAGCTGCAACTTGCGCAAACTGAGTCGCCGCATGGCGACGATATTGTTGAGCCTGCTAGAGGCCGGCTTAGACATTTGCGCGACCGAACTGTCGCATGTGTGAGTGCAACAGTATAACTGGATATTCGACCGGATGAAAAAAATAAAGTGCTGTCACAAACACGTCGTTCGTCGCTGGTTTGGAGGACGCAATCAAAGTAGTTACGGAGTGAAGACAAAAAGGAATCTATTCTACAAGCAGATTTTATTGTCGAATGCGTAGAATTCCATAGCTGCACTGATTTTCAACAACGCAACGTTGCATGACCAAGATGTAAACAAATAAATTGTTCAATAAGCAATTAACAAAGCGACAGGAAGGACCGAGAGACCGGACGGTGAAATTCCATGAAGTTGAAAAAGTGCGGAAGACAAAAGTTGCTATGATCATGCATGGCCAACTGACTGCCCGCGTGTGAATTAGTGCAGCGGCGTTTAAGCCAATCAACCCAGACGAACAGTACATATAAGAATCCGTGGCTACGACGTAGGAGTGAACGCTAAGAAATATGACCGAACTGATGACAGAAGATGGATCACATTGCACAGTGCGGATACGTGACGACCTCTTGGACAGAGGCTCAAGATTTGGAAAATTAGAGTCCGCAGACTCAGCAAGATAGTGTAGTAAAGATGGCAGTTGCGCCCATGCATGTAGTCCAGGTTTTGAAACCTCAGGTTATCCCAACGTATTGAGAACAAAGTAACCCTGTTCAGATTCATCTAATTTACATTTTCTAACATCATGGAATCCGAGTTTCTTGGCATGTTCGTATTAGCCCTTCTAAGCATCGCATGCGTGTACGCTACCTATTCTGATGTCAAAGTTCATGGTATGCATACAACGAGAAGCATTTTTAACTACTGAGTGATTATTCTATGTCCTATATTAGCGCAGCAATTTGAATCGTGCTGTCTTATTTAGTCTCGCATGAACGTTTCGTCTGAGCTGTCCCCTGGCCTATTGTTATCACCTGTCTGTTCCCGTTCTTTCGGTGTGATTCTGAGTTTTCGTGATGCGGAAAACTCGTACTTGCCAACATAGCGAGCCTGTCCGAAAAACAATGTCAGCGAACTCATTGTGAAGTGGATGCACATCGTATCGCACTCGGACTGCTTGGGATTAGTGGGTGTCGGTTTACGCATGCGCAATCGCCCAGTCGTTTTCAACCAACCGCAGAGTAAGGAGGGTCTTTTTCGTGAAACTCGTTTTCGCCTCCCGTGCAAGCCGCGATGCAGCGCTCGATGTAGCAAAGGACTGTCATCAAGTTTTGGGTGAAACACGACAAGAAGTTTGTGACTTGTGCGAAAGTTACATCCACTTTTTAGGCAATGTCATTAGAGATGATGAATCCTAGGTAGTGGCTTATGACCCGAAACTAAGAGGCAAAGTATCGAATGGCACACCTCGGCGCCCCAAGAATGCCAGAATGAGCAAGTCATATAGCAAGACCATGCTCATTGTTTTTTTAACCAGGGGACTTGTGACCCGCTTCCTGACCGATGCAAACGTACAAAAGGTTCCTCAGCCGCCCCACAATCCTGACTTGTCTCCCCAAGACTTCTTGTCCTACGGTTTGAAAAATTCCGTAAAAGGATATTATTTCGAGGTAGCTGACAAAATCAAAGAGGCTTGCGTCAGGGCTCTAAAGGATATTCGAGAAAGGGCCTACCATGAGACATTTGATGTTTGGAAATTTCGCTGGAAGCGATGTAATGACGTAGATGGAGTCTATCTTGAAATATTTTAAGTTAGTGTACAGATCAGATCCATAAGTGATTCTAATCGACTCACTGACATTAGTTTTCGGACAAACTATGTGGATGGAAAATAATCAGATTGATTAGACAGAAATTGTTCTGCAGGGGTCCCGGTAATTATACAGAAAAATCGCGCTTACCAGCTTCGAATGACAATTGATTAACATGAGGCAATCTGCGCTCCGTTAGCTGCTAGTTCAAAGATGTCACAGCATGAAAGGATGGCAAAAAAGGTATCAGCAGTACGCTGGTACGTAATACTGACGCTTTGCCGCCGCGTAACAACCATCGGTCGCAGGTGGCCTAAGGATACTACGAGGGTCGCACTGGCCCTACGCGGGCTCGAACCCGCGCCGTCAAATGAGAAGATAAGCTTGTTAACTTTGCGCTACATACCGGCATTAAAATAATAGAAAACCAAGGGCAAAAGAGAACGAGGAACTTGTTACCCATAGTAGTCCTCTTGTGGACAACTGCGATGTAGCTTCACAACCGCCTACTCAAATGTTTGCAAATTTATTTGCAGTTGAATTAGTAGTAAAAGAGTTGAAGGATAAAAAGGTGCATACATTCTAGGTTATTGACGAATTAATGTTGCTTTCATAAATTAGTAAAATCCCGGGTCAAGTTGCCTCGCTTGGAAGTATTATTGTCTACGTTGCATCTAAGGTACACGAGTGCATTAACCGCTCCAAAGATGTGATAGCATTTAACATGCCAGATAAAATATAAAGGCAGTTATGACTGTAGTGGTGAGGACATATCGCATGGGTAGCTAACACTTTACATGCCTGAGATCCAAGAAAAAAGTCTACGAAACATTTCTGTTTAATAACGAAGCATTGGCCGAAAGTTTCTTCTGCTGTTAGTCGATATTCCTCCTTCACAATGACTTGCGCTCAGTAGTATTGAAGACATATACAACTGTTTTAGGAAGAGAGATTATGCGTAAGATCTGCATGTCCATAACCACTATCAATTCTGTCTCACTAACAACCGACAGTAATACCGTACCTCAGTCCATTCCTCAAAATGTCAGTTGGGATATCCTTATCTATCAATGAAGTAGTTCAGTTGCTTCAGCAAGGCAGTCAATCGTGGTCATCATCATCATCATACATGTTAGCCAGAGATGAAAAGATTGTAAAAACGAAGAAACGCAAAGGACACAGTTGTAAGGTGTACACACGACCAAGTCACTGGTTCGACTGATAACATGGACATTTATTCGCACACATGAGTCACGTGCATGACCAGACAGACGGTGGCTCGTGATAACCAATCACAACAGTCCTCCATCGCTAGATTAAGAGTATTCAGCCTGATAGTGTTCTACGCTGCGCTTCTCACGAAGTGATCGCCAAAGCTGTATAGACTGCTCAGCGTGGTCTTCAGTTGTCAATACTTCTGGAGCTATGCTCCGGGGTGCAGGCGATGGGCAATTGACTTGTTCCTCTGCAGAACTCACAGGCTGTCGTCGCACTTGGTTCAAGTGACGTCGAAGTATTCGCCTATCTTCCAATTCCGCTTCCACTGCACTACCTCTTGTCGATCTCGTAATCCCCCGGATCCAAGTTCTGTCCTTTGGCCTCAAGTTCACAAACATTGCCACTTGACTCAATCCCACGATCCTTCGTTTTCATGTCGTAACGTTGCTTCATCACAGACTGGCGTTTACCGACTGTTAGATGCAGATTGGGTTTAATCAGATCCAACCGAGTGCGCAGACGTTGTCCCATCAGAAATTCACACGGTGGATGATCCGTGGTAGTGTGTGGCGTAATGCAATATTGTAATAAGAATTTGTCCAAGCGGGTTTGTAAAGTTCAGGACTGTTGTTTGGCCACACCCTGTTTGATTGTCGCAACCGCTTTCTCTTCCAGACTGTTGGACGAAGGGTGATGTGGTGCCGAGAGAACATGCTCGATTCCATTTTGATGTAGAAATTGTGCGAACTCATCGCTAGTAAATGTCGGGCCGTTATCTGAAACAACCATACAGGGTACACTATGTGTAGCGAATATTTTTCTTAAGATGTGCACAGTGGTCGACACAGTCATGGATGTGGTTGCCCGAAATTCGATTCATTTGGAATGGGTGTTCACTAGAACCAGAACAATGGAGCCGTCGATGAATTAAGAGAAGTCAATATGTGTTCTGTCCCATGAGCGCGAGGGCCACTGACATGCAGACATTGACACAGGTTGTGGGGATGATTTGTTTTCTTGACAGCTAGCACATAAGTGTACGAGTTGTTCTATCTTTTGATCGACTCCCGGCCACCAGACGTAGTTACGTGCTAGTGCCTTCATTAATGAACTTAATTGGTGACCCATATGAAGTTCCCGCAAGATTGTTTGATGATACCGTTTAGGGACTATGACTCAAGAGTCCAAAAAATTTGCAACCATCCTCGAGTTTAATTCATCTCTTCGAGTGCGAAATGTTCTTAGAGTTTCATCTACCCGGTCCGGACAACCAGTTAGGATATAATCACGCACCTT